ACAGCTCCCTAGGCCTGGCCGCACTCCTAACTCAGGAGGTTCAGTGTGCATCTGATTCTAAACTTCTTTAACATGCAGCCTGCAAAGGGTTTTGTTTGTATGGGGAATGTATTTCAATTAGATTCAGGCATGAGAGCAGTTACCTGTAATCCCAGGTACCCAGAAGGCTGAGGCAGGTGGATCACAAGTTCAGAGCCAGCCTGGGCAATGTGCAATACCCTGTCCCCATAACAAAAGTTAAAACAGGCAGACAGACAGACACACTCACGAGCGCACGCTCGTGCAAACTCTCTGGGACAGAAACTGACAGACACATATCTCATCTTGAGTAAAGTGTTCTCCCTCCCTGACATCCCAGCAGTTGTATTACTTCCTCAAATATGTGCTGAATGAATAAATTACTTAGAGTCCTGATACCAAGTGTAGCAGCAGCAGCAGCAGATTTTTTAGAAAGGTAGTTTCATCCTGAAGTCTCAGCAGAACTTACTGAACCTTTGCTAAATGCTTTGAATCTTTATACTGTCTTGCTCAAAGGCAAAACGCCTCAGTTTTTACACCAGACTTACTTTTTAAAAAGAGTATTCAAGACCCAGGGATGACTGGAAAAACAAAAAATAAAAATAAAAGTCAGAATGTCTGTAATAGAAACGTGTCCAAAGTCATTTTTTTAAAAAAACATCATATAAAGTGCATTTCCATCTTATGTGACTAATTAAACTTTGTAATTGGTAAACCACTTAAATTGTAGTTGGCTGTGTTGCAACTACATGTTTCTTGTTACCTGAGTCCTCACTGGCTGGCCACTTCCCTAGCAGATGTCTTCCTTCTGCCTGCTCTCTCTCTCCCTCTTCTTTATGCCTCCCTGTGGCTAATCTGCTGAGGCTCTAAGTCAGCAGAGAGGGTGTCCCTCATCCAGGCAGTAGCAGCTCTCCCTTTTTGTCAAGCTTTATTCTCAGTCTGTACTTTTTTGCATATGTGTAAATTCAAACAAGTAAATGAATGTTCCCACAGGCATCCTGTATGTGAAATACTGTGAGCTTTAGAAATTGTGTGTGTTGGTGATACGGTTTTGTTCACTTGTGTTACTCTGTTTGCTTAAGGTTCAGACTTAAGGAGTGTAGTTAAGGGAAAATGTGGAAAAGAGGGTAAGATAGCTTTTTAAGCCTGAAGATTCGTAGAAGAAAAGCACGCCTCAGACAGTTAAAACTTTTCTCCTGCCACACTTCAGACCACTGTGGGTCATCTTTGCCTAGTAGTAGAGGAATTGTTTTTGCTTCCCCATTGGCTTGCCTTTGATAGTGCATCTGGCCCCTCCAGTTAAGAGAGCTTACTCCTGTGTTTCCTAATTGCTGTGCTCTCTCTCAGCAGGGCAGCTAAGGATTAAAAGCAATACAATTGACATATATATACATACACACACACACACACACACACACACACACACACACACACACACCTCGGGACCATTTTTATGTATTTAAATATCACTCAGCTGTTTTAGGTCCCCAAAGTCCAGAACACACTTCTTATAGATATCATAGTATGTCAAAAGGCATATGGAATTGTGATAGAACTGTGTCTCATAGAAAGTCCTATGGGGTATGTGAAATAAGCTTGGTATCTAAAATCCCTCCCATTCGCTTTCATAAGTGAGAGGTTGTAGGAATGGCCTGTATGGTAATATCAGATGTTAATGGCATTGATTACCTGTCAGGCAGTGGGGATTGATGGGAAAATGTCCGCTGTAAAATTAAATAGCATTAGAGAAGACTGTACCATGTGCCTGGTGGGGAGAGCAGGAGGAGCTGTGCCTGAGAGACTTTGTGGGGCATTACTGGGAGCTCCACGTTTTTTTCCCCACATGATTAAGGCAGACCATCTGTTCTTTGTTTACAAAAACAGCTTCCCTCTACAAGATTCAAGGAGAAGTAGGTCTGGTAAACACTCACATCTCTGAGCACCTTTTCTGCCCTCCTTCAGATAGTACCAAAACAATTCTGCTGCATATCAAACAAGATTAATACTTTTTTGGTGTGTGTTCAGTCTTCACTTTTCCCCCTCCTTGTGGAAGATTAAAGTTTTTAACCGACTCACTAATTTATGGTCTCATTTATTTCTAAAAGAAGCATGATTTGTATGCTAAAGTGTGTGGATGAATTTTCAGAATTTTGTGTTGTGTGTGAAATGATTTTTCTAATTCATAAATGTGTGCTGGGAGAGCTCCCAGGAGGCACTGGTATTCTGTTCCCATGGATGCCATGCAGGTTGAGGATGGGTATACATGCCCCATTGCCCCAAAGTAAGTAATTCACTGCTCTAAATTGGACTCATTGTTCTGACTTTCCCTTGCTTTCAAGGAATAACGTTTCCTTTATTTTTTTTAATACTAGATTCTCCCAAGGAAGTTTGATTTTAATGCCCCATGCAGAAAAGCAGTGTCCTTTTTTTTGTCAGTTACGTTAGGAAATATAATAATTAACTGAACTTCAGCTGTTTGCATGCAGTAAAAGTTGAAGTCCGATCAGCTCATATTTTATCTAATGCCTGGGGTGGAGGTCACTAGGGCACGAAGGTATTTGTAAGGGAAAGTAGAGGCCAGCAATGACTTCAGTGTTTAGTTAGTTCCATTTTGGTTTCACGTTTTTTTCTTCCCAGAAAGATGCCTGTGTGTAAGGAAGGCTTCAGGAAGAGAGGGGTGGAGTCATAAGAGTGCTAGCTTTAGGAAACCTAGGTCCACATCTCATCTCTTTCCCTTATGTGGCTTCTGGTAGCCCCATTGCCTCCTAGAACTTACACTGCTGCCTAAAAGATGGGGTAAACATAAACACATTTTGTTTCCCGGTTATAGGCCTTGCCTGTGAGTGTATATTGGTGTGCTCTCCCTCACACTTGGTGCTCACCTCTTTGTCCTCTGACATGCCTCTTTGTTGTGACCAGGAAGGGGGCAGTACCTATTTTAAGATTGGTCTGCTGGGTGGTGGTAGTAGTACACACACCTTTATTCCCAGCACTCAGGAGTCAGAGGCAGGTGGATCTCTGAGTTGGAGGCCAGCTTGGTCTTCTACAAAGAGAGTTCCAGGACAGTCAGGACTACACAGAGAAACCCTGTTTTTTTTTTTTCTATTAGAGTAGCCAGGGCCACCTTTGGTGGGAGCAGTGAGCTTCCTTCTCAAGCTGTGATTCAGTTTGTAAAATGTTTTGGGGACAGTCACAGAGCCCTTTGGAGAAGGGATGAAACTCGTGCTGCCTCCCTAGAAATATTTCTTCGTGTAAGGTTCTTACAAGCTAGATGGGGTCAGAAGACACCAGATGAGGAGGGAGCTGTGTTCAGATCTCCCTTTCAGCCATTACGTGGCCCCTGGAACTCTTAAGTTTCTCTCTGAAAGATGGAGATAAATTACTGAGATTTTCTTGTGGATTCGGGTGAGTGGACATAGAAACTCAGTTTATGGCTTGGGATATGTTGGATAAATATGTGGTATTGAGATGTGATTTCTATTACCTGTACTTAAATGTGGGGTTCTAACCTTCCTCCTTTGCCCACAGTAATACTTAGCTTATCCCATGTTAGTGTTGCATTTGTGTGGGGTAGGCCTGGCCTCCCCTCTGCTCTGCCTTAGTAGGGTGTAAGGTGTATCAACTTTGACATCTATTCCATTGTGATCTGTGTTTCTTCCGACATTTACTTTTTATTAGTTTATCATTGTCCCAACTGTGCAATCGGAAGGGTCATTGTCTTAGTTCAAAGGCCTGACTTGGGGAATTCGGTGATGTTAAGGTCATGAAGCCCATGCTGGCTGGGCACATCATAAGATCACTCGTCTCACAGGAACATAGGGAAAAGGCAGAAGATGACTGAAGGTGAAATGTTTTCAGGTATTTTCTGAAATGCGAAGGTTCCTCAGATGCTGTAGTTTGCTGTGGATGATGGGCCTGCTCTGCCCTGTTTTGGGGTCATGGGCTGTGGGCCTACTCTGTGCAAGAGTCATTTACTTTGATCTCAGGTGACTTCTCAGCATCTTGTCCTGTTTGTCAGTGTTTTCTGATGTGCTGAAGATGCTCTGGGTACCTCCCTCGTACATGTCAGGATTTCCCTGTACTGTACCCCACATAAACTGTCTGAGCTCTTTCTTCATCAGTTAAAAAATAAATAAAAGATATGGCCATGTTTCATATTACTTTGAGAATGTTAGCCATTCTTTCACAAGACATTTTAATCTAGACTATTTAATGCCATTTAGTTCAGAAGTGACCTATATATTGTATAAAATTTATGTTGTACTTAATTCTATCCCCCACCTTTTAGTATTAGATTTTTCAATGTTGTACATACTTGTTCTTTTTAAAAGCAATTGTATTCTATATCTTTGAGTACACCCTCTCATGTGGAGAAAGAACTCTCCAGACAGAATCCATGTTTTACTTCTATGTCCCATGTCTGTGTGGTTGAAAAGGTGCAGAATGTCTAGTTGTGTAACAGTTTTCCCTTTCTGCACTAATTTTTTTTCTGTAGTAATAAATGGGTGTTAAAACAACATTTTCCTATTTAAAAGCATTCCTCTTAAACAAATATTTCCAGGCTGAAAGAAAATGGCAAATCCCATGACCCTTAGTTTATAGATGTCTGATTCCTTGAGTATAGATTAAAACTCCAGAAGGTATCAGTCATTGACTTTCGGTTCCTTTCTTTACCTTGAAGAATGAGAAACTAATTTCAATCCCATTTGTGTTTCTTAGCATTCTCCATCGGAGCCCTTTCTAGAGAAGCCAGTGCCGGATATGACTCAGGTCAGCGGACAGAATTCTCAGCTAGTGAAGACCGAAAACACCAGCCACAGCAGAAAAAGAAGAAAAAGAAAAACAACCACATTGTTGCAGGGGATCCCAGTAAAAGTTTTGGTAAAGATGACTTCCCTGGTGGGGTTGATAACCAAGAACTAAATAGGAACTCACTGGATGGGTCCCAAGAGGAAAAAAAGAAAAAGAAAAGGCCGAAAGTCAAAAAAG